ATGAAATGTAGTCTCTATCATTTACACTAGCCTCTTACAAATACTACTGTCCATATTTTTGTCTAACATTAAGTTCAAACAACCCAGAATTTTGTAGTTTCGCAAGAATTCTTTACTCTCTGCTGTTATCTTGATTTGCTCTTCGTCAGTCTCCTCCACTCCTCACTGACTATAGTGTTTGTTAGCTATAACTTTGTCAGAAGAGATTTTCCAGAGATTTTCAATCAGGTGTAGATCAGGGCTCTGGGCTGTTTTTTTTATTATTTCTGTTTTTTTTTTTTTTTTTTGCCTTTTGTGACGGGACTCGTTGCTCTGCATGAGAATTCATGGCTGATTGGGTGATGAACACAGGAAAGAAACCGCATGTTGTAGAAGGAGCATCTGACAAGCATTTGCGTTCACTTTCTCTTGCATTTGTCTTTCATGTACGATCATTCTTTTTTTTTTCTTGACATGAATGAGTTATTGACATCGTAAAGATGCAATATTCTTGAAATCACTTTTTGGAACAAACAACTTCTCTTTGGCCTTTTTCTGGACAACCTGCCATCCGAGAGTTTGTCACTTTAAAGCGACTTACTTTCTCACAAAATCTATGAAAACTGGAAGGTTTGGCTGCTAGTTTAATAGGATTTTTCTTATAATGAAGAAATTAACCACCAGCTACCAGGTTAACACCATTAACTATGAAGTATATGAAAGTATTCTCAAAATTCGATCAGTGTTCTTTTTCAAATCATACAAATTGAGGCTTTCGAATGCTTTATTCTGATTGTTTTATAAGTCAAAAGATGAATGGAAATTTGGTTAGTTTAACCCTTTCTAGGACACTCCTTGAAATACTCACCAAAAAAAAAAAAACCCTGTTAATACAACTGAGTGTTAATACAAGACTTTTGAAATTTGAGGGCTTTTTGGTAAGCATTTTGTGATCAATGTCAATGAAGTTACCATATTTGGTTCTTTAACCTGATAAAGGTTTAAAGGGAGTAACTTTTATTGTTTTTTAGCATTAGCAGTTTTTAGCATACAGAAAAATTCTAATGAAGACATGAGCTGGAAATATATAGCTAAACTGAAAATGTGTTCTTCAAGGCATCATACAAATCACAGAGATCATTGTATGCACATTATTTTGTTGAAAAGGTCTCAAGAAGCAGAATACAAACATAATTTGTTAGCTGGAGATCTAACAACAACAAGCTACAAGTAAACAGGTTTTGGGCTATATGTCTTCTTCAAACTTTGATAACTCACAGTAGATCACATATATTTGCTTGGAGTGAGTGTTCTCAAACTCAAATGAGCTCAAACACTGTAAAGCTACATGATGAGGTCTGATCAGTGATGATGCAATGTTTTAGAGTGTAGGGGGAGTCAGTGGATCACAATGATCGGGGAATGTTTTACAGCATCATGTCCCTTACTGATCTGCAGATAAAAAAGTAATAACACTTTTAATTGTACACCTTGATAAGGCAGTAATTGTTTTGTTGGCTTTCATATCTGACAACATGTTAATAATTTTCAATCAAATTCCTATTACAGCCTTTGTCCTGAAATTGTGTCATTAGTCATGATCACCATTTGGCCTGGTTGTTAGTTTAGATATTAACCAGTGTATACAGTTACATATATAACTTTATACAGTATATGTCAACTAATATATACAATTATTAGCCCTTCAATGACATATTTTTGAAATATGTCCCAATTGCGGTTTAATGAAAATGTTTTTTTCCCAACAAACAATAAATTGAAACAATATTTTAATAACCAGTAACAGATTAACAGAATAACAAATTATTATAATATCTTATATAATAATTTAAATTGCATGATAATAGTTTTGATAATATTGTTTTCAAGTGTCTTGTCATTTCTCTGGGCTTCTTCTATGAACTTTGATCTTTTAGTTATTTTCAGTTGATTCAGGTCACTGTATAAGCCATACTAGCAGCTTTATTTTCTTTTCTGAAACAACTTGAGCATTTCCTTGGCTGTGTTTGAGGTCATTGTCTTCCTGAAATGTCCACCCTGGTTTCATCTTTATGTACGTGTTGGGACTAAAGTAGCTAATATTCATTTACTCTGATGAGGGGCAGGGTTTCTGAAAAAATTACTGAGAGTTTAGCTGCTATCTGGACTTTCCACACATTTTTCCACTTCCCTTTTTTCATGTGTTTAATAGGGTTTGGTACCGAAACCCGGTACCATTATATCATTTGTACTTTTGTAATTGGTATGTATCAGACCGAATCACCATATGAATTCCGGTGCCTAATTTCAGTGCCACTTTATTTTTCTGCATCATGGAATGCATAAAAGGCGCCCATAGGTACGCATTTTTACACCATCTATAAACGTTTAGTTCTAAACAACTTGCGGAATACGGACAGGCGATCTCAGGGGTTTGTTCTTGTTGCTTAGGGAATGGACTCATTTGGTGAGCGAGAGCGATTCTCTTCAGATCAACACGCATGATTGCGTTTATCAAATTTGCTTAAACTAAGCATTCTAAAGTGTATTTTACAAGCAAGGATTCTAACACAGCAACGTGAAGCAGACACTTTACAAAAGTTGCGTTTGTAAATGGGGGAAACACGTCAAACTTAAAGACACATTTGAGGGCTCATGGAATCAACTTAAAGGCAGAGGAATGCACTGTCTCTGAAAACTTGCAACATCATCTGGCACTTTTCAATGAGTCTAGACATGAACACCAATGCTCCGGTTTTAGTATGATTAAGACAATACTCTGATTAAGAGTCTAGACTTCCATATAAACATGGATTTTTGATCACCTTAAAGGACCACAGACACCTGCATCACGATATCCAGAAGTTTTTTCTTTCCATTCAATGTGCAGTTAAAGTATGGTTTTTTTTTTTTGCAGAAATCCTGCCACATTTTTTTTTACAGTACTTGTTATTAAATGTTAAAATTGTGCAATCCAAACGGGTGGATGGGGCTTTAATTCACTGCTTTCTGTGTCCTTACCGAGGATGTAGCTAAAGACACAGAGCTAATGTGATTATACAGAAGCAGCTAGAACCTTGTGACCCTGCGATCACTGAGCGTATTAAAGACGCTAAGGAGAAAAGAGCTTTTAAACCATCAAGTGCAATGCAGCTTTCATATATTTATTATTATCATTTATTTTATTTTATTTTTTTTGCATTCATTACCATTTTTCTATGGCCAGCATGGTGGCGCAGTGGGTAGCACAATCATCTCAAAGCAAGAAAGTCACTGGTTTGAGCCCCAACCGGGTCAGTTGGCATTTCGGTGTGGAGTTTGCATGTTCTCCCTGTGTTTGTGTGGGTTTTTTCCAGATACTCCAAAAACGTGGTATAGGTGAATTGGGTTGGCTAAATTGTCCATGTGTGTTTTCACTGCGTAAAACATATGCTGGATGAGTTGGCGGTTCATTCTGATGTGGTGACCCAGATTAATAAAGGGACTAATCTAAAAAGAAAATGAATGAGTGAAGGATTGAATTAGTCCTGTTTTATTTTCATTATGATTTAAAGGCAGCACCCAGTAAAACACCCTTCAGTCTACCAACAGTTTCTATTACAGAAATCTTGTAAAATTGATCAAGAATCATTTGGTAACTTACAAAAAATATATAATTTTATATATTTATACTTTGCCGTAATCTTTCAGATCCCTACTGTACATTTCGTTCATTTGACAGCTAGATGTTTTACTGATTTAAAATATAATTTAACAACACTGACTCATATATTTGAACATTTTATTTTCACAAAATGTGATTTGAATCATTTAAGCAGACGTTACTGAAATGTTTATTTTATATTAGATCAATATTAAATGTAATTTAAAGCAGACACAAAAAAAGGCAAATTCTAAACTTTAAGGTGCCATGAAGTGCTTTGAAATGTGAATTTCTGCTGAATGTGTAATTTCAGCAAACACGAAGACAGGGCGGGACATAGTGTAGCTCCTCCTCCTTAAAAACAGCCAATAGGGTTTCATTTTTATCACAGCTCTGCCAGTGAGTGGTTAAGCTCAAGCATGTATAGAAATACACTCAAAAAATAATTTTGCTGCTTGTTCAAACTAATTTAAAATGAGCAGAAACGATTCTTGATATGTTTTTGGGGACAACATAACTATTTTATATTCCATTCACTTAAATTCAAGTTAATCAATAATTTTTTTTACAGTGTGTACACAATTCACTTCTGAAATCATTCCACACAATTCCTTCATGTTGTCCCAACACAAATCAATTAATTGAATATTTTTTATTTTTTTGGATATTTAAGTGGATTGAACATAATTTAACCTGTTCCCAAAAACTGTTGATTTAGCTTGTTTTAAATAAGTAGTTTAAACAATCAGTAAAATTCGTTTTTTCATACTAAACGTCGATCTTCATACTAACACCTAAAAAACTAAAGTTAAATTTCACATGGCCTTTACATTAACATTATGCTAGACAGCATTTGATTGGTCAGAGGATTTAATTAGACACTGAAATATAAAGTTAACTTTTTTATCCATTTAGTTGAAGTTCTAGATGTTTACATCATTGTGCTTTTCATTTTGTCAGTGTTTTGTAGCACACTAGACTAACATCTTCATACTATCACCTAAAAACTAAAGTTGGGTTTCACAGGGCCTTTAAGCTATATGGTAGACAGCATTTGATTGGTCAGAAGATTTGATGAGACACTGAAATATGGTGACAAAAAAAAATGTTGATCTATTTAGATGAAGTTTTGGATGTTTACATCTTCATATAATTTGAGTTTTGTCAGTGTTTTGTAACATACTAGACTAACATCTTCATACTAACACCTAAATTAAAACATTTAAATATCAAGGGGCCTTTAATTAGCATCAGTAAATGAAACTAAAAACATTTACCCCTCTGGAAGGATCTGAACCTGCAGAACTTGAGCTCTCACGTCCAAGAAAAGAGAAAGTCTGGAGTCAGTGAGGAGTAAACAGTGTAGCTGGACATCGGCTATACTTGAAGATTTCTTTTATTGCTCCACTCAGTCTCTCCTTAAAAACACAGCACAAATGTAGTCACTCATATCTCAGCCAAGAAACTAAAAATCAACCAGAATAAAGGTGGTAATACTGAGGGGGAGGGAAAACAAATAAAAGAGAGAAACATACATGAAATATAAAACTATACATGTAAATTACAGCCTTTTCAGTTTCACAAAACCAGTATTTATCCACTGAGAAAGCCACAAAGTGAAATGCTGGATCGACTCCACTGATGGTTTCTATTTGACACAGTGTTTATAAAAGGCTTTGACAACACATAAATATGAAACTCAGAGTTTAATGCAATTTTTTCCTATGGGAATTATCTCTTTCCACATAACCAGGCAGCTTTCAGATCTTTAATCACCCGTTATTACAGTCAATTAAAAATAACAAGAACATCTCATATACAACACAAGGCTGGTGACAAAAAAAATCTACATTTCCTTTATTTGGTTGTTTATTTTTTTTTTAAATCCTCAAAAATGCTTAGAGAAACTATTTACTACAAGAGGAAAGTTACAAGAAATAAGAGGGAGATGCAAGAAACAGTCATGTTCTCCATGTTCAAGCCAATTCAGTAGTAAAGCACTGCAGTTTGACGACAAGCCATGAAACAAACAAGACTATTACTGCACTTTAAAACACATCCATCCAAATATGATGCAGTGCTATGCTTCAAATTAAGAAAATTCTGGAAAACGAGTATCTGTTAAAGGAGCCAGCTCCTGTTGTTTTACAAATACACTATCAAAAAAAAAAAAAAAAAAAAAAAGGGGTAAATATACATGCGCTAAATCTTAATAACTGCCAAAAACAGTCATTTCACTAGGCTAGGGGCATTTAAATTGATCTAGTAAGGATTTATATGATGGCTGGCGAACCATAAAATAGTTTCATTCCACGTATTTTCCAATAAAATGGCTCATTCGGATGTTCTCAGTGTCTCATTAAATGTGGCGCATACATTAAAAAACATAGTAGAGCATCTTTTTTATGGTCAAACGGCACAAAGCCAGTCAGAAAAGGTTAAAAAAGATTAATGTGCATTGTCTGTGCAGTAGCTCTAGGTGGCAGAAGCATCCTGTACCTTTTAAACAAAGAAATATTCATTCACAATAGCGTTTGTAAGTAGCACAGTCTGCTTAAATGATCATCGCAACAGCAGGAATGTCAATCATGGTCACTGAAAAGAGGAATATGTTAGAACGAAGGCCAAAACTAAAATGGCTGTTTTCCAACATTTAAAGCCATCGAGATGTCAAACAATATATTTAATAAATACAAAACACCCATTGGAGATTGGATTGGTTTAAAAACTTGAGCAGAACCTGGTTGTCATCTTGTTAACTAACTCAAAGTCAACATTTCATCATTGCTAAAACCTTTATTTTTAAGTTATGGTTTAAAATCAACTGCACAAGTAAATGTAGGAATGCCAAAATAAAACAGAAAACATTAAGCTAAAATTGAACTGAAGGTAAATCTCATTCACACATACACTTGCGCACACACACACAGAAATCATGACTGATTCATTGCAACAGTTGCATGATGCTACACTGCAGTTCATTTCCCTCAGGGAGGAATTTGAATTCTTTACATTCACAAACACACAGACTTTTAAAGGGAAAGTACACCTAGAAATGAACATTTACACACTCTCAGGTCTCAGATGTGACTTTTTTCCCCTTCAGTAGAACATTTATAAAGATTTATTTAGGTTTTTTTTTGCTTTAACTCTCTTGTATGAATCATAAAATGCTCATAAATCATAAAAAACATGCCAACCAAAATGAAGGCATTATTAAAAAGTTCACCCTAAAATGAAAATTACATCATTTATACATCAACCTTTATGTTTTTCTTTCTTCTGTTAAAAATAAATGGATATATTTTGAAGAATGCTGGTTGCTCCTCGACTTCCATAGTAGGACAAAAAAACTATGAAATTCAATGAATCCGAGCAACCAGCATTTTTCAAAATATCTTCTTTTGTGTTTAACAAAAAAGGGAAAGTCAAATAGGTTTTGGTGGAATTATTTATTTATTTTTAATTTTTTGGGTGAACCATTCCTATAAGATAGGGTTGCAGGATACTGGAATTCGAAACCAACTGATACTGAAATTTTAAAAACGTCCATCAACAGAAATAACTGTGATTGGCTGTGAAAGTCCTCAGTTCACCGAACTCACTCTGTTTAGTGCGTGTAACCAAAGAAACAGGGACACTGGAGCATTTAAAAGCCACGATTCATCAGCCAATCACTCGTATGTCAGCTTATAGACAAACTAGCTGATCAACGTGACTTTGAAACGCTCCGGTGTCCCTGTATCTGTGGTTATTCTCAGTAAACAGCTGTGAGTTTGGTGAACCGATGATCTTCACGGCAAATCACAGTCGTTTCTGTTGAGCACGTGAACACCATGACAAATCAGCTATGTTTAAGAATGTGCTACACACCGCTCAAATGTTATCGGGAAATGGACATTTTTAACATTCCAGTATCGTGACATCCCTACTTTAAGGTCTTATGAAACTTAACAACTTAATGAGTAAAAAAATATAAAGAGTTTAGATTAAAAACCCTCTTCAAAATGTTCCTCTAAAACAAGTATTTTTATCCAGCTCCTGTGTTCTTTAATATCACTTTTGTGACAAAGAATAAGTTTTTTCCTGGTCTTTAAAGTGAAATAGCTCAACATAAACAATGGAGGCTAAGAATAATGTTTATTTTTGGTAGAAATTTCAGATGGCACTCTGAAATTTCAGAGGTTTTTGCATCTGAACTCTTCATATATTGTTTAATAAAGTGTTGTCTGTACATTTCTTAAAGTGACAGTAGCTGCTACCGCATTTTCAGCCCAAAACAAATCTTCTCAACTGTTTGAAAGAATAAAGTGACTTACATTTTGTTTGGCCTGAGAGTGAGTATATTTCTTGGTGTGAACAATCCCTTTTACAAGGCCCGATTTACTAAAGTCTCTCACTAAGCATTCAAATTCTTCAGCAAATGCAGAAATCAGCAGCATAGCCAGTGAGAACTCACCGTATGGTATCATTTTTGCATTTTTTCCCACACTTTAGTAAATCTAGCCCTCGACAGGATAAATATGGTAATTAGATAATCCGGATTATTTCGCAGTCACCTGATATAAAAACAAAAGCCTAGCTCGGGTCAAATTTCACAACGACTAAAATTCAAAAAAACATCTTTTGTCTCCTAAACAAGTAGAATGATACATAACAGTACATAAACGTTCCCTCTTCGCTCCTTCAGATTCCTTTTTCTGTTTTGTTCCATCCGAGGATTTTCAGGGAGATACAAATGCTCCTATAAAACGCTCGCAAAGCTTCAAGTGTATCTTCTCCACGTAGAAAGGAAATGAATACGTTATTAAAACAGGGCTCCTCCGTAGAACAGGGAAATCAAAAAGTGCTTATATGCATCGACTCCATCAGAACCAGCGCACAAACACGGCTCGAACGGCGGATTTCAACTCATGTACGACAGCAGTACAATGGCAGTAGTTGGAATGATCCGAAATCTAGCGCACACCGATTCGTTATGGTTAGCCAACAACTTACAGGAACGGGTCGGACAAACGAACGAAGAGAAAAAAAGAACATCGAAACAACGAAAGGAGTTTCAGACGGTGGCCGGTGCAGTGTGACATTCAGATCCCCGGCAGTAGAGTACATTTTGAGGGGGGAGGGGCCCGAGCCGTCACACGTGAAGGATCTCCATACTGTAATCCTCTGTCTCTGTGTATTGGGAAGAGTTTGTGTCCGACTGCGCAGGTACAAGAGCCTCTTTGTTCTCCAGGTTGGGCTCCAGAAGAGAGGGCTTATCAAAAACTTTGATTTTACAGGTCTCTGGGCGATTCTGCACGTATATTACTCTGTTGTAGGCCTTGAGTCTCCTCCACAACTGGATGTAGACCTTGCATTGCACGTACATGAACACCAGTCCGCCTGTGAAGCCGATGGCCACCACCACCAGCTTGGTCCAAAAAGGCCATTCCAATATCCCTGTGTGATAAAACCAAAGGGAGAGAATACACCACTGTGAGTATGTCACACACACATTTCATTAATCACTGCAACAATGGACTGATATTTGTTAACATTTAAACATAAGGGTCAATGACAATTACTTTAAATGGAATCTTTCAAAATATTTAAAGAAGTATTTCAGTCTAATGACTAAAAGATTTTGAGTCAAAACTAAAAACTAATATATTATGAAATAATGGAGAAAAACAAGTTAAAATAATGATTATAATAACTTAATAATGAACTAATACAAATATTATTATTATTAAATATAGAATTAGATTACTGTTTAATTAGTCAAGGTTTATGAAAATAATCAAATTTGAATATACACCTGACTAAAATGTAACAGTTTTCAAATTTTTAAACACCATGAAAAACATTATTTTCTATATGTTTTATATACAATTATTAAAAAAAAAAATATTATAATTAAAAGTAAAATTAAACGAAGATATTTTGAAAAATGTAAGAAACCTGTAACCACTGACTTGCATTGTAGAAAAGCTATGGAAATCAATGGTTACAGGTTAAAGAAATACTCCAGAGTACTTGTAAAATAATAATAAAAGTGGAGTATTTCTTTAACCTATAACCAATAATTTCCATAGCTTTTCTACTATGCAAGTCAGTGGTTACAGGTTTCTAACATTTTTCCAAATATCTAGATGCTAATGGTTTAATCCTTTTGAATGATTTATGCTAAGCTAAGCTATCTACTGAAGGGATTACAAAAATGTTAAAACTAACTGTTTAACTCCAGAGTACTTGTGAAGCCTATTTCCAACAAAAGTGGAGTTAAACAGTTAGTTAATTAAACAGTTAGTTAAACAGTTAATTTCAAACCCTTACATTTTAATTTAACAAACATTTCTGTCATTGACCCATATGCAGTGATCCTTAAGCATTAAAGAGTGATGCTTACATTGCCCTACACAGCAATAATACATTACAGTAAGTCTATGTGCATACAAAGTGATTCAGGAAAACAGCACAAGGTCTAAAATATACATCAAGCACAACAAAGGGGAGCTGGGGTGCAAAAAAACAGGCATCTGGAGTCCTGAAATCCCACTCAAGCCTCTACAGAGCCAGCGATGGACATAGGGCTATGCTTCCAAATGCAAATACAGCATCTTCACCCTTGACCATTCGACCAAAATCATTAGAAATGGCTGAAAAGTCAGGCCAGCGGCTAAGACGTTCTAGGCGTCTCCATCCATCTTCGTTGGAAATAAACTCAGCCAACCTTTGAGTTGTTTACAGTTGCTTTCCTATGTGGAATAGAGCGTTTCGAAATGTCAGGAAAGATCAAGTGTGAGTGAATTGCCATGTTCTACAGCGAGTCTCTAAATGCTACGGTCTGTTCAAGCACAAGGCCTTAGACATTGAATACTGTACTGCTTTCAGAGCCTCCGTAAGCCAAGCCGGGATGCAGCTTTAGTCCACCTGACATGATTACGAGAGGCAGAGGGCAGAGAATAAGGTTAGTGCCGCACAGACAGGACAGGCTATTCACACTTCTTCTGCTTTAACCTGTTCAACTGGCTTGCAAATCAAAAAAAGATTCATTCGCAATTTAGTCTGATCTGACTTGTTCATGAGTCAGCAACTTACTGAATAAAATAACCTGGCTAGAGTGAGTCATTAGTTAAAGATTCACTAACTGAAATGATCAGATCAGAACAGGTGTATAGATAACAGTTCACCGGGTGTTTTCCACTTGGGGCTGAGAAAAATATGGTGAAATTCAATCATGATTAAGAAAAAGCTACAATTGTCATGTACATTATCTTCTAGTTAAAGAAACACTCCACTTTTTTTTTTTTGGAAATAAACTCATTTTACAAGTCCCCTAGAGTTAAACAGTTAAGTTTTACCGTAAATCATTGAATCGGATTTGACCATTAGCATCTAGGTGTTTAGAAAAATCTTAGAATCCTGTAACCACTGACTTCCATACTAGAAAAAACTATGGAAATCAAAGGTTACAGGTTAAAAAAATACTCTACTTTTTTTTGAAAACAGGCTTTACAAGTTCCCTGGAGTTAAACAGTTAAGTTTTTTCATTCCATTCAGTAGATCTCTAGGTCTGATAGGAGATCAGCTTAGCTTAGCATAAATCATAACTCTGATTAGACCATTAGCATCTAGCTCAAATATTTCAATTAAAAGTTTCAATTATTTTCATATTTAAAGCTTGACTATTATATAGTTACACTGTGTCCTAAAACTTGGTCCTTTACTTTCTTTATTGTCCATATATGGAAATTTATTTTTTGGCTTCACCACACAACCCCATCAGCGTTCACATATCACAGAAAACAGGCAACACAAATACATTCAATATCATCATATAAATTAAATTAAAAACTCAATTAAACCCCATTCATACTCAAAACCCAGTAAATCTAATGGCAATTGACACAAAGAACACTTTAATACATGTTTTTCTTTACTTGAGGTTGCCTAAAACTTCTTTTTGACGGCAGAAGCTGAATTGTAATATTTAAGGCACAGGTGTCAAACTCAGTTCCAAAAGCGCCGCAGCTCTGCACAGTTTAGTTCCAACCCTAATTAAACACCTGATCAAACTAATTGAGTCCTTCAGGCTTGTTTGAAATCTACAGGTAAGTGTGTTGGAGCAGGGTTGGAACTAAACTGTGCAGGGCTTCGGCCCTCCAGGAATTGAGTTTGACACCCCTGATTTAAGGGATGGGGACAATCTTTGATAATGACATGTGCTTTCTTTTTAATTAACATTAAATACATTTCATCTAGTTAAACCAATTAAATAATTACAAGCTGCTACTTTGGCTAGGAAATATATTCTCAATCCAATATAAAAATCAAGGAACTTAACTGTCGAACCATGGCCGTAGTTGGCAATAGTATTATGCAACACCTGAAAATAGTCCACAGCTAGGTAACTAGGTAATACCGCTGCATAATATAGTAAATATATACAGTTGAAATCAGAAATATTAAACTCTGTTTGCATTTTTTTTTTTATATTTCGCAAATAATGTTTAACAGAGCAAGGAAATTTTCTAAATTATTAGCCAAAGATAATTACGCCAAATTGAGTATAGCTCCTAGTCACATCAACCTAGAAATAACATTTACAGAAAAAGAACTTTTCATTTTACATCAGTCTTAAATAATCTAACTACAGAGGAGTCAAGCTTTAAATAAAAAAACTATCAAAACTTTTTGAATTATTGTAGCTAGATGCTAATAGTCTTATCCAATAGGCTAGATGGCGAAGCATGCTAATAGGACTTTTAATTTGCCAGTAACCTGGGTTAAGAGCTTCCGGCGAACTGTATTCAATGCAAAAACCGGCGTGTTTAAGGCCTGTTTTCTTTAAAAATCAGCGATCTCCACTGGCTGAGTGATATCCGATATAAAGTGGGTCTCGGGTTGTACAAGAAGCACTGCATTAAATTACATTTTCATCCGCCATGTCTTTATAATATGAGCATTTATTTTACCCCAGTATATTCAATGGAGCTTCTGCGCTAGCCTGCCAATTCTGACGGGCATGTGTGAGTAAACGGCTCTTTGTCTCGTTTTACGCTTGAGCAACTAAATGAATGCCAAAGTTTATTTAACTGAATGTATTTTAATGACATTACAACATCGATGCTGTAAAAGGAACCGTATAAAATGGAAAAAAGTTCAAAATAACAGGTCACCAGAAGTTTATCAGTATGGGAAGAACACTAGCTTGGCATATACCCTATTCAATTATTTATGCTAAGCTAAGCTAAAAGTGCTGCCGCTGGACCTGAAGATAGGCTGAAAAGATTTAAAAAATAAAAAATTCTTTTAAAACTGTTTAACTCTAGGGAACTTGTAAAATAAGCATTTTTTTATCCAAAAAGTGTGACTTTAATTGTTTACCAATTCAAATTCAATGAGTTCATTAATTAAAAAGAATTGGTCAGAGAGAGACTTCAATTCACAATTCACTGATTCAAAAGATACTCAAGAGAGTCTCTGATTACCATAAGTCTGACACAAAATCAGCAGGATCCTATGAGCTTTATTGTCCACAACCGTTTACAGCAATTTCTAATTGTAAATTTTAGGTCGTATTATTATTATTATTATTATTATTTAAATATATGTCATATTTAGGTCATTATTGTCAGTTGATTGTGAAGTAGATCTGCTGTTATGGAACAAGCTGTTTCATAAGCCCAGTGTATGTACAACTATACATTAAAGGAATGCAACCATCAAAGTTTCAGATACTATGATTTCAAACTAATTTTGGCCATGTTCTGCTTTGCGATGTTTAGACATTAAACATGGTTGTCAGCACACATTTACATTTATATACATTTTGTTTTCAGCCATTTTTAGATACTAAGCCTGGTTTATAATTCTGCATCAAAGGATCTGCATGACCTGACCAACGGCGCAAGTCTTGCGCGTTGCCCAGCATTTATTGCTGTTTGTGTTGCTCTGCAATAACACTTCCACACAGTGTTGCCAGATTCGAAATTTCAAAGTATCATACCAGAACCTCAAAATTATTGTATTTGGAGGAAAATTATGGTACACGAGTCAAACGGACAGTATTAAGATAGTATCTAGACAAATAGCGTTTTGACATAACGTGCAAATTACCACAATACGTAAAAAAATTAAAACGACAATTAGGCGTACCTTAGTGGGGAAGTTTAAACTCTACCTCAGTGTCGCTGTTATTCTATACATGCGTGTTGCCAAATGTTAAGGGATTCATTTTGCGGTAAAAATTAGATGCCATCATGGACCGCAATATAGTGCCGTTTGGTTTGAAAGCAGTGCACTCTCCAGAATTTTTAACACACTCTGAGGTGTGCATGAGCCCATTCAGAGTATCTAAATGGGCTCATGTAAGCAGGAATGTTAACTTGTGAGAGAGAGCCTGTCTCCAACTTCATTGGCTGAGTAGATGTAACGCAAGATGAAATAGAAAAACAAACATACTGCAACTGCACGTTTTCCTCACAGATAGTCGACAAAAGATGCAGCTATATCAATAAGCATATAAGCTCTAAGATTACAATGAAATTAAATGTATATGCTATAAAATTCTGAAATTTATTTCTGAAATTTATTGCACATTATACTATAGGATTTTTTTATTATTGATCATATAATATACAGAGGTCGAAATTATCGTGCAAATATTATAATTATTATACATCTGGCAACGCTGCTTCCGAAACGCTAGATTCCAATAGATTTTTATGTTCCTCTGTGTTGTTTCTTCGTTGGTCTTTTTTTTTCTGAACAGTACTTTAATGTAGTTAAAACTCGCTCTTTCTGAGTAAGGAACCGGCAGATGTTCAACAACTTTAATAATGTAAATAAGGTAAACACAAAACAAACGTTTCCATCTGGAGCTCCTTCACAGGCTCCAACAGGTTTGCGTGGACCTCACCCCCGCCTACACTCGTCAGCGATACCAAGCTGACCAATCACAGAGCTTGCGATACGCGTCGTTGCGACGTGTAGTTACATTTTTTTTAGAGGTGAGGGCTATGCAACCACACAAAGGCTGCCCCGGAGCATACACATACGCTTGACGCAGGAGTATGAATCAGCCTTTAAGGTAAACTAACTTAAAAGTTGTTTGCACTCATAAATACCCAATAATTATAATTAAGAAAAAATAAAACATCATCATGCCAAATAAATAAACATTAATCCATGAATACTTTTCACAACTAATACTTAAGTACAAAAAATAAATAAAATCAAGTACATTTGTGCTTCAACTTTAGTAAAACCTTCAAATTCAGATAATTTGCAGCACATATAACCTTTCCCTGAGTAATATTGTATTATAATATCAGAACTTTTACTTCATTTGTGTACTTCATCCACTGCATACAGGTAGCCTTTTGAAAACCAATATCTTGCTTATTACAGTCTACCTTATCATATACAAAAGGCCAGTTTGATTGGTCCATCTCATTCATTACACCGACAACCACACGTCTGCTTGAGAGACATCAGCAGTATAGTTCGATACAGATTTATGTCAGTTTCCAATTCGATGAAAACACGCCACAGCCCATTAAAATGCAGCGCAGCCTCTTTGTTCCACACATTACCTCCGCAGTCATGTACAACCGATTTCACTTTAATCTTTTGTGCCTGAATATATACAGAAAATAGATTTAGACAGGAGGAAAAAAAAGTGCTCAGGCTGTGATAAGTGGCCATCAAGCCTGAAATTGCCTTTGTCCGGCATATTCACAACTGACAGTATGGGGCACACCGCTTTCACAACGCATTCTGGCTGTGAAGAATTATTGCCTTTATTCAAGCTGCAACTAGCATTCAGACCTTCAAAAAAAAGATAGAGGGAAGAGTTAAGAGGAAAAAAATGGTAATTATAAAAGCGTTTACCTGGTATTCTCCCCGCTGCATGGTTAAAAAGAGTTTGTTACTATTTCTATATTGGCAAAAGATGAAGCCACTGATAGGGGTGAAGGGTCAGGGGGGGCCAGGAGAGTGGGAATCATGTTTTAAAGTGGTTGGTTGGATCAATTAGACTTATGAATGAATGAGGAATGGACATTCAGTTGTGCGTGTGTGGGTGGGTGTGTGTGTGTGCATGCACTGCGCTGGACTCTGCTCAAGCTTTACCATGCAGGATGAAGAGAAGTCAATGGTGTGGCCATGGAAACAGTGATCAAAGATCTCCCTCAAAGCTACACTTCTTCTACAATGAGGCGCGTGTGAATGGGCTCTTAATGTTGGGAGCAAATCAGTAAAGTGCCTGCTGTCAGACGCCCGTCCGCAAGCGGGTCGAGGTCAGCACTAAAACTCATCCAGAGAGCGCTAAAAGGGGATGGTGTGTTTAATTCAAGCGCGCACACCCTGCTCGATCCGTTATGGAAATAAAATCCATTGGCGTATTTTCTCCGAATGCATCCGCTCCCTGAGCTCCACAGCTTGCTAATGGTATCGATTGGGTTGAGTTTGAGAGATGATCAGTGGGCAAATCAAGTCTTGCATTGGGGGTACTAGTCATCATTTATTATTGTTCTAGTCCTGTTTTTTTTTTAGCTCTTGTTTTGGACAGTCTAAAAAAAACCTCTTTGTGTGAGGATTTGAAATTTTGTTGTTGTTTTATTAATGCACAGTTGTGTAAAAACCCAATACTCACAGCTAGGATTTTCATTAAATATACTTTAAATTTAGGTTTGTTTTTTTTACCAAACACTATTGTATACCTCCAGAATACTTCTAATATATGGCACGAGTCATATTTGAAAGGTGTTTATTTTATTTAACTATCATAAACTACCATCATATGGCAACCCAGGCTCATTACAAAAATATTGCCGCCTTGGAATTATAAGGTTCTATCTGCGTTCTAAATGATTTCGAGCTATTGATATTGAGCTATAGATTTTTTCTGCATTCCATACAGCAAACAACATGTGTGTAGCAGTTCTCTTTCATACATTAACAATGACAGAGACCCTAAATGCACTCTAAATGTAAATGATCGAAATTCTCCTAAATTTGCAAATTGGGGTAAATGAAACAGGGCAATGCAGATAGAACCTTCTCATTCTAAAAAGTCATTTTCCGCTTGGAATTATAAGGTTCTATCTGGCAGATCATTAATTCAAGCATTACTTTTCAAGAAATACAATAAAAAAATATATATTTAATTTGGTGTTGTAACAATATGTTGATGCTTGAGAAAGTAAAGTTTTTGCTTTCTATAACATTTATTTAATGTATTAGGATGAACATTTTATTCTTGTTCAAATAATGCATACAAGGCTGTGCTAAATGTTTTATCCAGTGCAGCTGTTAATTTGATGTAATTAATATTTTATGCAGCATTATTTAGTCGACTCTGAATTTGTGTTTCTTTCTGGTCTTTCCTGCTGTCAGTGAAGCAGTCCGGCTGTGTGATTTGGCCTAAAATCAAAATCTCGATTAATTTAACATTTTAACTTATTACGATTAATGAACGATTATTTTTTTGTTTATTTTTTGCTCTCATAGTTTACAGACAGGTTTTGTACAGTAAATATGTGCAGATGTTACATGTGTGAATTTCTGAAAGGGTACATTGCTTAAAAATAACTCTTGTATATTCTGTATAATATATTTTAAACAGTGCATTTCTTGCATCTTTTGTAAACAAAGATTTTATTAATATAATGGAAAATGTCATCTCAAGGTGCTCTGGTGCAGCTTCCAATCATCGTCAATGTAGTACAAAGGAATGCCGCAGTCTCACTAGAGTTTGTGTGTGCGAAATTTTGTCATACAGTGCTGCGAAAAGGGGTGGGATTAAACAAGATGATTAGACAATAAAAAAGCGAGCGATTGGTCCATGTTTTAAATTCCTGTCCAGAGAGGTCATGTTTTGATCTTTGATTGGTCTCATGCAATGAAGTGATGCTATTTTGCTGGTCAGAGTTCACCAAGCTTGAACTTTTCAATGCAGCGAACTGCGAAACTTGACGTACGAGCTTGCGTTTCCGGTCTGACACATTCGCATACATATGAATGGAAGTCTATGGTGAGAAAAGTGCAGTGTGACCACAGCTTTAGGCTCAAGAACTGGCGGACGTGCAACAACTTTAATCAAAAGGTAAACACAAAAAAAAAAGTTTCCATATGGAGCTCCTCCACGGGACTCGACACTTGTAAACACTCACTCCACCGGGCTCTTCTGCGACTCTTCGCCTTGCCCACACTTGTCACCGCTACCAAACAGACCAATCACAGAGCTCGCAATGTACATTGTTGCGACGTTTAGTTAACAGAACAGGGTCACGTGACTTCACATGCATTAGGCAAGGTAATTGAAAATAATCGACTTGGAAAAAAGTAGATTGATTACAGGCTATAATTGTCGATTTCGATTAATATTGAAATTAAAACCTAGGTATTAGCTATTAAAACCTATTCGATTTCAAATCATAGACAGTGTTAAGTATTTGGGGTTAATTATTTGGTGTTGCATCTAGAGCTGCACCACAGTAATCCTTTATACATCAATAACATGTCCCTGTATTATTAGTCTGAAAAGAAACAAAAAATGTTGGCGTCATACTGCCCCTATAGTGTTCATTATATCTCAAAACTGCAGTCAAATGTATATTTTAAATATGTTTTTGAAGTTTCACAAAAAACTATGGACTGAAGCATATTTCTCCAACGAGCATGGGTTGTTTTAAGCTAAAAATGTGTCTAGCTTTGTATTTATCAGCCTATAAATTGGCCAAGCTGTGGGTTAATAGTCTGCCATTGGTAAATGCTGGATGGTAATTGACCCTAGTCGGACTATACAAAAAGTGCTCTAAATTCTTGTCACTGCTGTTATTTAGCAGCTATACCTAGAAAGTACAAAATTCTAAAGTACATTTAACCACAAACAGAAATGATTTTGGAATGTATAACACTTAAGTTTTATAGATGCAGTAAATGTTTACATGTGTATATCATGTGTATATTATGAATATTGCAGTTGTTTGCTTGTTTAAAGGGCCTTGATGTTGATGTTAATTTGTATAAGTTGTTTATGAGGTGGGAAAGTATGTATCTTCAAATGTTTCTTAAATCTGAAAACCAGATCAAATTCCACTAACTGTCATTGGTATTCATAAACTAGCTGTAAAAAGTGTTGGAACAGTAGGATATTTAATTTATATATATATATATATATATATATATATATATATATATATATATATATATATATATATATATATATATATATATATTATTATACAATTGTTGTTGATTTGTTGATTGTTGATTGTGTTTTCAATGCTGAATTTTAGCACCATTACTCCAGTCAAAACTCATTTTTAATTTGATGCTTAATTTTTTTTTTTTTTTTTAAGAAAAGCATTCATGAAAAAGAAATATTTTGTGACATTTTTAATAGGTGTAGATCAATTTAAAACGTATACTTGCTAAATAAAAGCATTATTTACATAATTTCCAATAAATTTTTGCTGTGAAAAAAAAAAAAACACGAGAGGCTTCTTTAAAAACTCTAACTGTCCTAAACCTTTTTGATTAGTAAACTACAAGTAGCCCAACATTCACTTCTTTCCAATGAGACAGGCATATTGTGCGGGTAATGAATGCATAAAGATCTCCGTTGCTGTCAGTCAGAGGAATGTGATCATTCATTACAGGTAACAGGATGGGGAAATGATTGTAGGGAAGCAGGCAGACAGTGTTGGATGAGCTAAACAGGCTGGTAGTCCTAACCTTGTTTGATCTCCTCTGCTGTGCGGTCAATGAGGACGTAGAGTGACCAGACGACGCAAGTGATGGCGATGACGTGGAAAGTGACCGAGCACATGATCTTCCTCCTCTCGCTGGCGGTCATCTGAAGCTTCTCCCACTGCAAAGAGAAAAAAAAACATACAAAAAATAAAAGACTCTCAAACAACTGTTGTTGTAAAAGAAAGACTTTGATGATTGCAATCAATATAGTAGTCTGTGTACTTCAGAGTGCTGTACAAACGAAATCGGTGACCTGGCCTTTCTGCTCTATGAATATTTTATGCGTCTTAGTGTGAGTGATGTCTGGACTCTCAGGTCTCTATGACCTAGAATCCAGATCAGCAGAGCTTTTACCAGAATAAAAACAGAGTGATCATACCCGATCAGCCTGTTCGAGATATTAATTTAAACCTCTATGAATGAAAGATTTATTGTAGACATGTTGCAGAATAAATTCACATCCCTGACTAGCAGCAGCTGTCACATGCGCAGACAGAGGGCATGGCAGCTGCCACTGCTACTCCATGTTGCCAGATCAAGTCATTTTGCATTGCATGCTTGATCTTATTTTTAACACTTTCATGCATAAGTTTTTAAATATGACTGGTAATGGGTGCCGCCGTTGTTGCTAGAAGGGATGCAGCTGCGATCAGAAGATAGCAAGGAGTATTTATTAAATTACGCATTAATTGTATTTTATTAGGTCTACCCCTACCTCGACTCTAAACCTAACCCTCACAATAACCTAAAAATATTATTTGTTGTACAGTGTCACAAATATCATGCTATATTGATGCAAGTATGCTCAGCTGTATCTATTGCAGTACAGTGAAGTCTAGATGGAATACAGTTGAGGATACTTGCGGCAATATGGAATCATTTTTGTGACTGTACATATATTAAGGTTTTTACATTACCGTGTGGGTTGGGTTTAGGGTTGAAGTAGGCGCTAATGAAATAAAATTAATGCAGAATTTAATAAATAATATAAATACTTGTTAACTTCCGATCGCAGCTGTTACCTATATAGAAACAACCGCAGGTAGCTGGATTTAAGTCATGTTTATTTATATTATTCTTCCAAAATACATGAAGGTAAACAACATCTTATAGTGGTACATGAACAATGCACATCGTCCAGTTATATTGAAAAACAATAATTATTACCGTCTTCGTAGAGATCCGTGTATTTTACAAACCTTAAGTGGTATGTTTTTTTTTGTAGTTATGTGTATTTGATTTCTGAAACCTAAAATAAATGTTATTTGTTTGAAAGCATGGATAAATTGTGATTTATGACAAGCGCTGGGCACTTCTTACTGTTCCTCAGTGCGGTGGTCAGATTTTAATGTTGTAGTGCTCTAAACGTTATCACACTGGTGTGATCGTACGTTACAGGGACCAGCCAAGGCTGATTATACCAGTGTGATCCTATATGTAAAAGGGTTAATATGAGAACATTAACAGTGTTAAGTTGGAAAGAGGAAGCTTTGGGTTAGCAATTCTTTCTTTTTTTTTTAATAGTAGCAATAAATACAGTAAAATGATTTCACTTAACAGTGTGTACATTTCCCATTGCTAAATATTGTTCTTTTTTACAAACTATAAAGTAACAGAACACAATAAAAAAAATAAAAGTTCCATAAAATAAAATATATAAAAATAACAGTAACAATATAATGGTAACATAAATAATATCAATACTAAATATACATAGGTCAGAGAGGGTCAAATCTTTATTTCTTCACTCAACTTTAGGTTATTATTAACTGTAAATTCTTAAACTAAAGAGAGGATTAAGAAGGGGAGTGCAATGGATCATAAACTGAAAAATGTTTGTTATGTGGATGGAAATTAGATGGTAATATTTTAATATTTCTACGAACATTGGATAAAACAATCTAATGTATTCAGTCCACTTGACCAGAGATTTCAATCTTTTTTTGCATAATACAATATATACATTTATTTCGAACAGTTTTTAGGGAGATGCTTTTGTATGTTTTTCGTAACAATATCTGGCAACACTGCATCAAAAGCACTTAAAGTACACATGAAATCAAAACTAACTATATTGATTTTGCTGGCTCACATTGCTAGTTTTGTAGTAAACAATTTATCTGTGCATGTCATTTAGATAAAAAAAAAACATTTGCCCATGTAATCTTTAATCAAAAATATGAAAATGCAATTCCTGGTTCTTTTCAGTTAAATTCTCAAATTACGTCTATCTGAGGTTTTGGGTGTGGTTAAAATACTTAGCAACGCCCTTCCAACTGTCAGTTTTAACAGTGTTATAATGACAGCAAATAGAAATGCCTACTTTACTACATCCAATCAGCTCCCAGTAGAAAAAAAACAAGCCACATCCACAGTTTATTTTATTTAATATTCCATTTCTCGGTCACACTTTACAATAAGGTTCATTAGTTAATGTTAATTAATGCATTTACTAACATGAACGAACAATGAACAATACATCTACTACTGTATTTGTTCATGTTAGTTAACGTTAGTAAATGAAAATATAGTAGTTCATTGTTAGTTCATGTTAACTCATGGTGCATTAACTAATGTTAACTAGCATGGACTTGGATGTTAATAATGCATTAGTAAATGTTCAATTATGATTAATAAATGCTGTACATGTGTTGTTCATGATAAGTTCATGTTAGTAAATGCATTAACTAATGAACCTTATTGTAAAGTGTTACCCATTTCTCTAGTAACTGTGTCATAATATGCAAAAAAAAAAAAAGAAAAATAGAAATGCAGCAAAACAATTAAGTTCATGGATAATTAAAATAAAGTCACTATAATTATATTAAGAGTATAAAGCTGACAAACTATTTCAAAACAATACCTTAATAACTCTTGTATGACAGATCTATAGAGAATTGCAGGCCAATGTTTTAATTTCTGTTCTTTAAGTCTGGACTCAAATCCAAACCCAGCTTCATTTCATCCTTCAAGAGCACTAACTGTTTGTAGAGGATTAAAAAGGGATTTCCTACTTTGATACTCATATTAAACTTGTAAATCTTTTGTTTAACTTTTAATGTCTTTTTGATGAAACTCTGAAATGAAACCAACGGTGACATATTTAACATTTTCCTGTGTGACATTGTGTCATGACATCCATTCGGCTGGGATAAGTAGGCAACACTGTTCACTGCAGTCAAGCGCTTGGATGGGTGAGGATGTTTCCAGAAAAGAAAATCCAACACAAAACTGTTCTGTTTGATTTATAATGAGTTTTGAAATATGAAAAAAAAAAATCACACCAAAACCTTCCTTACTACTTTTACACTTGTTATTTATGTATTTAAATGGGTTTTTTAAATTGTTCATTTGTGATGCATATGCATGTTAATTAAAAACAAATTTTGCTTTTAAACATTTTTTCCAAACCTTTGATTATAATGAAAATATAGATTTGGCCATTTGAGAACCCCTGATGTTAGGTTATGCTTTTCATGAAGTTAATTAACCATTTAACGGTATAGTGGAAGTCATGCTAAACTTCATATACTTACATTAAACATTAATACAAATCAAAAAGAGCATTATTTGCCATTCATCAATTATACACCAAACCTGATAACACTTTAGTTTAGGTAACAATTCCCACTATTAACTGTTAATATTAAGGTATTACTTGCATATTTAGAATTTACAATGTATAATGTTATTCTACATCCCTAATCTTACCCAACTCTCAATAAGCAGCTAATTATTTAGAAAAAAAGTCTTAGTTATTGATTTGATAATAGCTAGAATTTCGTCTTAATATAATGTGTGACTCCAAATCTTAATAATTCAAATTGTTACAGCAAAAATTAACATACGACTGCAGAAAACAAAACTATAAATATATTTTCATCAGATGCCAATGTATTATTAATGGTATTCTACATCCCTAATCCCACCCAACTACTACATAACTATTAAGATAGATAAATAGACAGACAGACAGATAGAATTATATGATATGACAACAATATATAAACAGATAGATAAAATGTTACATACCATAGATCGATACAACGATAAATAGATAGACGGACGGACAGACTTATGGATGGATGGATAGATGGATGGATAAAATGATCAATAGAATAATATGATAAAATGACTGACAGACAGATAGAATAATTTATTCATCCCAAAGGGAAATGCATAAATTCCTGCAGTATCCACAAGTATGAATTAAAACAATAGCAAAAACAAATAAATACACCCATACATACACATCTGAGTACACGTATCTATATAAACATGCATATACACTGATATATATCAATCAGATACATACATTCATTATAAAAATATTATAAAAACAAATCCTTATTAAAAAAAGCAGTTAAGTCGTTTTTTAGCGAAAAGTCTTACTCAATTGCTAATGACTAGAAATGTTCCTTAAAATAATGTATGACCCCAAATCTTATTCAAATTGTTAAAGCAAAAAAATAACACATTGCTGCATAAAACTAAATTACAAATGTATTTTTATAAGATGCCAATGTATTAATATCAATGTAATTTCGGGATTTTGTAACAGAGGCAAATGTGCAAGTGTTTACAAATTAAACACAGGATGTGTGACATTTTACACCCCTACTGGACTATTCCAATCTTCTTGTCACCTTGAGGAAGAATAAATTACACATTTAATTTTGGGTGAACTGCTGTATCCCTGATCAACAGGCTCAGCTATTTCAGCAACATGTTGTTAATGAGTGTATAAAATCCAGCAGATCAGCATTCAATCGTTTTTTTTTTTTTTTTTTTTTTTAAAGAATGGGATGCACCAAAAGGCACACTGACTGTCAATGTGGCACCAGTAAAATGATTTGCTGAGTCTGATGGAAAAACTGACCTATGCAAACACCACTGACTGCATCTTGCATCTGAATAAAAAAGAGAATCTCCCTTGTAATGCTTTCGGTTGTGAAATGAGACACTCGAGCACATATGGGTGTGGAGTTCAGCTGTACGCAGACTTCTGACCATGTTGTTGTCAATGAAAATGATTATATAAGGCTGTCAGTGACTTGGGTAAACAGATTACGTGAACATTTTGTACAGTCTACAAAGTCCTAAAACATTTCATATAAT